CCACCCCCTTTTTAGGGGGGAAATGTTCCCGGGGGTTTTTTTGGTGGGGGGTTTTTTTTTTTTTTTTTTTTTTTTTTTGTTAATCCCATTCTAATCACTTATGAGTCAGTCTGGGTAAAAATGCAAAATGCAATACTCTAGCTGCCTGGGCTAGTTTTTAATGAGTCCATAAGACACTGAAGATGTTTTTGTTCCTCTTTTGGATGAATAGCAATCTTAGCATCTTATTTTTCAATGTGATTATTTAAGTGCAAAATTAGCTCTTGAAATGCTGTCTGATACTTGCTCACGCTGAATTACTTTCACTGACTTTCCTGATAATCTCTTGAATGTTCATGGAAAGCACGTTCAGAATGCGTGTGTTTGGATGGAAGGAAAACAGCAGGGGAGAAATGGTAAAACCATTTAATTATTTCTTGGCTAAGTCTTTTCATCCTTGTTGTCTGTTCTGTGTTACATCTGCAGCTGGAGAAAAACATCTACAAATTCTAGCAGAATTGAACATACTGATCCCAGCCATTCTTGGTAGGCAAGTGCTCCTTTTCCTCTTGTTGTAAGATTTTTTCCTCCGTTGGGCTTATTTTTGGTCTTGTCACTGAAACGCAAAGATTTGAGCCACTCTTCCCCTTTGCTTTGGGCTGAGCTGCGATAGACTTCAAGGCTGGGATGGAGAAAGCCTGGCTGTTTGATTTTAGCCTTTAAAGGGGGCTGTGGTGTGTTCTGCAGTGACACCCAGCTCTTGTGGGTGTGAGGTGGATTTGCTTCATGCTCCCGAGACCCGGAAATAACATTACAAGTCTCACTTTAGGCACGCTTATTCAGAAGTATAGCCAACGTGGACCGCTACTTGCAGTCACCTGCACAAACAGGCTCCATCTTCATCAACAGAGTGACAGCAAAGGGCTTTCCAAGTGCCTTCCTGAAGATAGTTTTATTTTTTAAGAGGCTATCGATTGTTCTGTCTCCCAGGCACCAAGACCTCCTGTCCCAGGACCGCTTGTCACTTATCGGAGGAGTCTGATCGGAGACGCGTGCCCTTGGGCTTGAACCCTGCTGATGTTCGGGGGTGTTCGGCTTCCAGTTCGAACAGCAAGGCACAAGCCCCGATGTCGAAATCCAAACTCCCCTACAGGGATGGAAAGTGCTCATATCCGGAGTTCTGGCTGGGACCCACCTTTTGTTGTACCCACTGTTTAGATAATTTTGCAAAGCACTGAGCTCATCCTGCAAGACGGTAAGTTCCCCCAGGTCTCAGCAAGGATGAATGGGCTTTCGTCCTGTTTTGCAAGGAAAAAAAAAAAAAGTATGCATTTGTTTAACTTCAGGCCAGTACAAAGAAATACAGTGTTTGGGTGGGTTTTCAGTTCCCCCTTCTCTCCATCATCTTTCTTCAGAAGCAAAATGAAGAAATGCAGTAAGAAAGGAATGAGTAAAAAAAGAGGGGAGAAAGATGAGGTGAAAGAAAAAGCCAAAGCTGAAAAGCTTAACTGTATCAACGTACATGAAAAATGAAAACTAGAGGGAAAAATAATCATGTTGAAAAGTCAACTTTTTTTTTTTTGTAAATTTTGACAGATAAAGAAAGCTCTGGTTCCATAAAGACAGAGACTTTTCTGGAGTTTAACTATACGTGCAAAGATGGTGAATGACAAGTTTTTCATAAGTTTCCTTTTATGCTACGTAAGTTAAAGCATAGCTGAGTAAAGAACAGTTGGATTAGACTTAGGCTACGATACAGGATTTGGGCCCTAATATGTGTCTTGGCAAAGGCACAGGTTTGGTGAAGCCCAGATCCCGTGGAATCTTAGATGTTGGGCTTGAGCATCCTGTAAGAAACTCGCTCCTCTTCCCAAGGTCTGGTACTGCCAGGTAGGATTTG